AGGAACGGTTTGGGTTTTTCAGTTGCACAGAAAATTTTACTCCTATTTATGTGTTGCCAGTGAACGTAGCAAAGATGGAGCTATTTGCAAGGCCAATATTCATAGTCAAGCCCCTCCCCAATATACACTCTGAAACCACACATGTTCAAAAGAAGACTTGCATAGGACTACTGGTTTAAGTCATTAGATCAAAGTTTTTGTAAACTTTTCAAGGCCACAGACCACCAAAGTGTACATACGTTTTAAAGGGCAATGCTTATGTCTGTTTCTTTTCTTTCTTTCTTTTTTAAAGTGTGTGGAATAAGAGGCATATTGAAATAAAAATATTTTAATAATATATTTTTAATAATATGAAATATACTAGTTTGATTAGATGTATCGACTCCCATATGATGGCATATTCATCTGGAGTGAGAGTTGTTAAAGAAAGAGTCACACAACATTCAGCCTTTTCAATATTTGCCTTTGGATGTAATGAGCACTGCAATTCTCAGAAAGACAGGCTGCAGAGAAAAATGGCAAGAACTTCATTGCCTTTGGAAGTGCCACTGAAAGTTTTAAGGTGCTGAGGGAACACAGATGTTTTGCAGTATATAGTTGATGAAACCCTGATCTGACAATGTAGGACAGGCTGGCTGGGGAATTCTCGAGTTGAAGTCCACACATCTTAGAGTTGCCAAGGTTGAGAAACACTGATGTCAGACATGCCCACAGATTAGGACAAGAGGTTTTGCTTGTTGTACAACGTGGTCCAGTTTCACTGGCTTGAAGACAGAAGGACTGAGGTGGATATTCCTCACTGAAGCCTCTGGAATTATAGTAGATAGTAGAAAACTCCTATCTGAGTTGCATTTTTATTTTTTAATCAGGGAGATGAGAATAGTTCAATGGTATTGTTTCATACAGCAAATGTCTTTGTATATAACATTTCTAGCTGCAATTATCAGCTAAGACCACCTCCTATTTCATTAATTTCTGAAGGTGGGAGTTATGGTACCAGGGCTCAGATATTTTCATACTCAGAAGTCACAGAAACCCCAGAAAAATACAACCCCCAGAATTTTCCAAGGGTATTTTAAATATCCTTCAGTACCAAACAGACTGCACCCTGGACATCCCCCAAGATGCTATACTGCTAAAAACTAACATCATTGTAGACAGGAAATTCTTTCCAAATTCTTTGCCACTTCATAATTTCCCCCACTTTCAGGTTTTGAGGCCTCAACTGTGGAGATTTTATTACAAATAACATTTCAAACTGCCTTGATTTTTTTTTATAAAAGTGATTAAATGTTTCAGACAAGACTCTCCCTGTCATTAACTAACAGTATTGGGAAATTGTGTTAAAAATACCTGAGCCCGGGTTTCCTGCAGCTGCTTCACCTCTGCCTGCAGCCTCTCACATTCAGCCTTCAGTTGCTCTTCCCGGTGCTGAGAGTTCTGGACTTCTTGTCTTGACTTCTCAAGTTCCACTTCCAGCCTTTGGACCTCCAAGCCTTCTGCCTGTTCCAGGCCCCGCGGGCTCTGCCAATTCACCGAGCGATCCAGTACTAGGGACCAGGAGGTGAAGGAGTAAAAAAAGGTGGGAAAAGAGAGAGAATGTGATCATCAAAGAAGGCAGGATGGAGGACAGATATGGAGTCATGGAGGACTTGCAGGGCTAATAGTTTCTCAAAATGATGAAGCACCATTTTGTTGAGAGTTCCTCACAACCGGATTTGTAAAGAAGCTTGACTCCTTGTACTTTTTTTAAAGGACAAATAATTTGTGGCAATAATACAGCAGTCCCCGGGCTAAGAACCCCTGGTTTCTGGATGACCCATAGTTAAGAACAGAACCTATTGTAGCAAAGTTCAAGTTAAACAAACAATGATTCGAGTTAAATACACAATGGTTTGAGTTCATTACACAAAATACTACTTATATAGTAATGTACAATGTATGTTCTGGCTTACATACAAATTCGACTTAAGGACAGGCTTTGGGAACGGAACTCATTCTTAAACTGGGGGCTACCTGTACTGATTTTACTCATTCATGATGAGGAAATTAGAAAAAAAAAGCAGAGATTGAATTAAGTATTATTGATGTGGAGGCTTCCATAAAAACAGACCATACTGTATGTGACAAAAAAATTTGGTGGCCTCTGCAAACTAGCAGAAGGTTATCTCCTGGCCAGTCTTTGAAATATGCAAGCAGACTTGTGGTTAATCTCTAAACTTGAAGCCAGAATTAATGACAGACCACTCAGTTTACTGACTTCTGTTATTGATTTTACTCATTCATAATGATGAAATTAGAAAAAAAAAGCAGAGATTGAATTAAGTATTATTGATGTGGAGACATGATCTGTTGCAGCAAACACTGTATATAAAGTTTGGAGAGGTCTGGACAGTACTGGCTCCAAGATTGAGATGGGCCCAGCAAAGTGCTTGCATTTTCTCTGCTGGAGGCTTTTGTCCATTGGTGGGCCCATCTGGCTGTTGCTGGCAGCCTTCAAAATATCACAAGGATGGTACATCTAACCATCCAGTTAATTTCCAGATTAACCAGAATAATGCTAAAAGAGGAAAATTGTGGGAAATTAAAAAGATCCATGAACATGGCACAACTAGGTGCTGGAACCAAAGAAAGAAAGTGATAGATGGCAAATCCTGAAGTGGGACCATCATATAGAGATGACTACTTCTTTCAAGGTTGCTTTCGGGTGTCTTTAAAAGGTGTTTAAAAAGCCTTTTAAAAAACCATACTTATGACTATATTCTCACTAAAACAGAGGTTCATGATCTGAGGCCCCAAAGCTTTACATAGAACCACTAGAGCCCATTTTAAATTGTAAATTCATGGGGGAGTTTATTTTCATATGAATTTAATTTAAAGCATGTTTAGTTTTCATCCCAGCCCTATATGTGGGGGTGGGGGGGTGGGCATGGCCTGCAGCATACCTATTATGGTCCTTGGTCTGAAAAAGGTTGACTACTCCCCATTACAGGGACAGTAAGGTCTGACTATGCAATTGCTAAGGTCAGTTTGTACTCCAACACCTTTAAATTGAGAAGCTAAGCCTCCCTTCTGATATGCCTCTAAGATCACCAGGATCTGATAAGCTCTATATCACCAGGATCAACAAGCACTTCAGATCTTCTCAGAGATGGGCAGCTGCCCTCCAAGCAAGAGCGGGAACTTTGCTCTAAGAAGTCAGTTGGTAATAGGCAAAACCATCCAGAAAATTGGACAGTGAAAACAGATTCACTGATTAACCCTTTTATCCCTTTTCTGCCTTCCTTCTAGGGTGAACACTTCTCCTAGGAAATCAAGGCTAATAAGGGTCAAAGAGTTGGAAGGCAATCTTTTGGAAATGGCCTATCCTGCATGCACCCAAGATTCAAGGAATCACAGCACCATCTACTGGCTGGCAAATATTTGTGTCACAGTGTGAATAATCTCCATTTAAACATGGAAAATCGATAGATTGGGCTTTGCCTGCCTGATTAATTAGGTTCTGGATTATTGATGTGCTTGCCCCATTTTTCCAAGCTCTAAAAACACATCTGAGGACCTCTTGCTGATAGAGGCCATATTTCATCTACACAGTATCCCTGACTGAAGAACATTTTCCATTGATAATCAGGTGGAAATCTAGTGTCAGGGACTAGAGTGACAACTATAATTACTGAATCCAGTAAAGGAAATATTCACATAGAAGTCATTGGTCTCATAATTGTGGTCTCACAATTCCCCTTCAGCCTGCAATATTTCCTCTGTCAGCATATAACGTCTCCCTCAGTTACCTAGGATGGATATTTTTATGTGTTTTAATGTAAAGTAATAGCTACTTCTGCCAATTATTAACATTAATAATGATTTTTAGCATTTATACAGCATGGGGTAGAAAAATTAAAATATTCCAGTCCCCATCAATCTCATATATCATGGTGAACTGTGAAGCATGATGGGAACTGTAGTTCAGCATTTTCTGGAATGCCCACAAATTCTACATTACTGATATACCAAGTTTCATGGACTTAAAATATTTCACAACTATTATCCTACAATGCAATCTTGTTTTAGCCTCATAAAACAGTTCTGGGATTATAGTTTAAATTTGCATACATTCATTATATTTACAGGTTCAGCATATCTGTTCACACAGCCCTTTGAATAATTGGCACCGCTCTACATTTTCAACTGGATACTAATACTGTACATTTTTACTGTACTACATAAATACTGTAGTACATTTTACTGTACTACATACAGATTTTTAAGGAATTTATGTTATATGTTATTAGCTGTGTTGTGTACCTATATATTATAGATTTTTACTAGATTATAGTTCCTTTTAACTATTACTGTTTTTAATTCAGTATTTTTAATTCTTTTTTATTTTAAATGTCAAGATTGTTGTACAATGAAAATGGAAGATACCAATGTTATAATTTATTATATGTTTTATTTCTATTTATACATAAATGAATAAATAAATGTGATGAGTCAATGTGCTATCATAAGGCAAGACTTTCTGGGGTTAAGACTTCCCTCTAGTCTCTAGGTCCAGCCTCTGAATAGTCAGCTGACCTCACAGGCTGAAAACTACTAGCTGACTTCAGAGGACATATCTGACTGCATAAAGCCCTTAATTCAACCTACTTCATTTTCTGCCTCTCTGAAATCTGAGCACTGACCCATTTCTGACCACATCTACTTTCACTGACCGTTTGGATGTGCAGCTGTTTTTTCTGAACTATGATTACTGCCAACTTTTGACCCACCTCAACAGTCCGTAATTCTTTTAGCCCTGTACCGTTGGTGCCAAAATTGAATCTCTCAAGTTGCAGTGTCAGATTTTGGCTAATGCAACATTCTCTAAATAAGCACCTCCAGATGTGCTGCAACTACAATTCCCAATATTCCCACTCAGCATAACTAATTCTGGGACTTGTAGTTCTAAACATTGGAGGGCACAGATTGAGTAAAGCTGTTTCAAACCTGACAATCAACACCCTGTTCCCTGGACTAGAAATCAAAAAATTCACCATGAGTGCCATGAAGTGACCGGAACTGAACTTCTTGATTCTGAAGTTGAGTGTTGAGATTTTGGAAAGTGTTGCCATCTCTCTGCCTTAACTGTTGTTCCAGGCTCCGGATGCGATTCAAATGCGTATCAACAAGTGCTCTCTGCAGAGAGACCAAGATAGAAATGGACATAGTGACAGAGAGGAGAGTTAATTGCCATTAAACCAGCAAGTAGAGAAGCCTTCAAATCAGAAGAAGCTGCCCTCATACACACACACACCCGCTGTCACCTCCAATTTAAGGCCAGTTCTCACTTCTGTTCTGAAGTCTTCATTCTTAGTTTACTCTGATCCTGATCAGCTTCTCCTTCTTTTTAGTTTCCTGAACAAACTGGCTTCCCAAGACTTAGCTAGCAAATCAAAGCAATAACCCAACAGTTTATCAACTTATTGATGCTTGGAGAACTAGTAACTCTTCAATTAAAGATTTTATGTACTACTCAGCTAAAAATCAAATCTACTCAACAATAGCATGTTAATTTCATTTAAATAGGGCTCATATATTAACTAAGAGTAAAGCCGTAACAATAGCAATTTCTGATAATGCTCGAATTGCATTAGGTCTTTTTAATCCAGGATCTCGATTTTCCTTCCTTTTAAATGGAGATTAAATATCTCATTATTACATAATGCTTGGCTCAAAGACAGCACTGCTAAAGGATTACAAAATTCTTCCAAGGAAATAAGACAATTGAATGCATTACATGGCATGCCATGAAAACTATTTTTAGAGGACATTTTAGAAGCCTGATAAATTATGTTTAAAATGGAGACTAAGATCTAAGATTAAACACTGAAGTACATGCCACTCTTAATATGAAATGTAAACAATTATTAATATTGGATTGTGAAGGTATTTATAGAAATCTAAATTATTTGAAATCCAGATACAGTAAAATGTTCAGTTTAAAGGACTTCCACTGAGTCAACTTTGGATGCAACAGACAAATTTTCCATTGTATACCCCCCCCCCAATGACAGACATATCTGTCGCATTGAGGCTAAAGCTCTTAAATTTACATTACATTAGGATATATCTATTTAATTGCATAGTGAGGGCATGGCATAAATCACCACAAATCATTTACTTTAAAATTTAATTGATATTTGGAAATATTGGATATCTTAATCTTAACAGTTCATTAAATCAAGATTTTACCATATTAATAGCAGGCAGGCAGACAGGCAGGCAGCAAGCTTTATGATGAAAATTGAGTTCCATTATTTATTTATTTGTATTTATTTATTTATTAAATTTGTATGCTGCCCATCTCCCCTGGACATACAGGGTAATTACAGCATATTATTCTATTTATACATCTAATAATTCTGAAAATACTAAGATCACAAATTGCATGGTGAATTCTAAACTCACTAAATTAATTGATGAACACAGAGATTACCTTAGGTAAGAAAAGCTGAAATAGCACATTTTTAAAATGGTAAAATGTATGGCTTTGAACTGTTTAAAGCTTTAAAAAATGAATGACTACCAAATCTATATTATTTATATAAAAAGTTACATACAGATTCAAAAATTCCCTACCTCGTGGAAACAAGCTACGTTTTATTGTTATTCCTAACTCAAATAAGGATCCCCACAAGATGTCAACACATAAGCCTATTATACTCTTAAATCAAAATGAAAAAATATTCATCACTTTATTAACCTGTAAGCTAAACAGTTCTGTAATTAAGCGCTCCCTGATCAATCTGGAATTATTCCTAAAAGAAATCTAGACAATTAAATTATAAGTGTACTTAACATAATACATTATGCTAAACATAATAAAATTCCATTTGCTTTGGTCTATCTAGATATCTTCACACTTCTGATGCAGTGAAATGCATATAGTATTTCTCAAAACCTTATTGGAAATAGAATATAGGTAGTCTGCAGGTTACGACAACAATGGGGACTGCCGGGATTCCTGTCACTAAGCAATGTGGCTGTAAAGCACAATGTCATGTGACCGCATCGCTTAGCAACAGCAATCCCAGCAGTCCCCATTGCTGTTGTAACCCCAGGACCATGTGGGTCGTTAAGTGGGAAGAGGCGGGAGTCCCAGGTAAGGAGTGTGGGGATGCTGCAGGGGAGGGGCAGAGAGTGCCGCAGGCGGATGCTGGGGAGCATGGGCAGGCCAGCAAAGGCAGTGAACAGGTGCTGGGAAGCACAGGTGGACTGGCAAAGGCAGCGAGCAGGCTGGCAGGGGCTGCACACGGGTACTGGGAAGTATGGGTGAGTAGGAGGTGGGATCGTGAACTCCGTAGTGGGGCTCCTCAGGAGAAAAAGCGGCAGGAGCAACTTATGGGAGCAACTTGCAACCTTCCCTACCAGCTTCCCCACTGACTTTGCTTGTGGAAAGCTGGCAGGGAAGGTCCCAAACAGCAAATTTCACTGCTATAAACCAAAAATAGACAGAACCAGAACCCACTGGGGGAAGGAGTTTCAAAAAGTGGTATAAAAATTGATAATGCTGAGGGCACCATTTCTGCATTTTAAATGTGGGTTTGGCCTCACCCACTGTGGACGAGCTCCAGGGGCCCCAAAACAGATTCTACTGGGTCAGTGTCAGCCCTTCAAGGTAGATCAGACTAGGAAACCAATGCCATATAGGTCAATACTATTTTATTGTAAAGCTATAGTAACAGAATCTTGCCAGTCTGAATGTGCTTCCCCACTCCTTCCCCTTATGTTTGTGAGAACTAAGGAGGGGCCTTTCTTGGATGTTTATTCATGCTACATTCTTGCTCTGGATTCAGACCTCTTTTATCTAATTGTTGCCTTGGTAGCAGTTCTTCCTCCTGTCCCTCAAGGCAGTACCCTCTGCCCTCTACAGTCACATGCAGCCCTGGGCTGCACACTTTGTATTCTTGAGCAGTGGCATCTGCGGGGCCACAAGGGGGGCAAAATAATGAAAGGAACATTGGGATATAAGCCCACCCCCTTTTGTATATGTACTGTGACATCACATGCACATTCAAAATTGCTGGAGCTTGTGTCACACTGCTTCTTTCATCATTCTAAGAAAAGCAACAAACTTGTGCAAACATCCATGTCCTTAAGTCACAGTAATATTTTTCTTCATCACTGCTTGGTAGAAAAGCTGCAATTAGAATTGCTATTTTTCCTTGATTTGTATTCCTATTTCAAAGACTTCCAATCCCCTTTAATTATTTGGTTTATTATTATTATGGTTGGTCGCACAGCCAGCCAGCCAGCCAGCCAGCCAGATATTTAGACTAGATTTGGCATTTTTATCCACCTATCGAGTCCTTCCCAAGGACCTGGGGGATAGGCAGATGTTGTTTGACGGTGTTAAAGGTATCGTCGCAGGATGTAAGCTGTTCTGAATAAAGCTGCCTTTTGCAATTGACTGATAGTGATTTTGTCAATGCTGGTGGTCTTCAAGTAGTGCTCCAGATGTTTTGGGATTGCACCCAAGGTACCTGTTACTATTGGTACTATCTTTGCTTTCTTTTGCCATAGTCATTCCATTGCTATTTCCAGGTCTTTGTATTTTGTGATATTATTATTATTATTATTATTATTATTATTATTATTATTATTATTTTATGCCACCTTTTTTATATATAACTCACAGTGGCGAACATACCTAATACTCCTGCCTCCTGTTTTCCCCACAGCAACAACCCTGTGAGGTGGGTTGGGCTGAGACAGAGTGATTGACCCAAAGTCACCCAGCCGGCTTTCATGCCTAAGGAGGGACTAGAACTCAGAGCCTCCTGGTTTCTAGGCCAGCACCTTAATCACTACACCAAACAGGCTCTCTATTTTTGAAAGATAATAATAAAAAATAATACTATTTTATAGTAACTTCAATTTAAAATGATTAACACATATTATTCAAAAGCCTCTCAAAGGAGGCTTACTGAGTTAGTGCTAGACACTCAACCTGTTAGGGCAACATGATTTCTTCCTGATATTAAAAGTACTATTCTTTATAATACTATTCTCCTGTAAAACTTCATTATAATGCTCATTGTCATTTTAGACTCTGTTGAAGGACTGTAATCAGTTCATTACATATAGCCATTTCTAGTGGCAATGTCCATTTAGTTTTACATTTGGGTTGGAAGATTTTCAAATAAATTGGAAAAATTATACAGTATTTTTAATAATTCATCATTTTGATTTATTGTCCATTTTTTCCCAGGACGTACAAAATGGTATAACAGAAGAAATTAATTTAATGTTGTTATTAGCTGCCAGTTTAACTATAGAAAAACACTGGAAAGCTCAACTACATCAATGGAGTTGCAATGTGGGAATTTTCAGAGGCTGAAAATTAATACAGCAGCCAACAGTCTTCAGGAACCTTTTAATTAAATATTGTTTTATTCACACTGGGTGTTCTTTTATTTAGTTGTATCAACAAAGTAATTCCTAAATAATTACTTCCATCTATAAAAATATGCTTTAGATAGAAATACTGAATATAGATATTTATTTTTGTTTCTCTTTCCTTAAATTACCAATGTATTTGTATTTACTCTCAAAGTTTGGGGGAGGGGGTTGTGTTGCTCATGTTTCTGTTTTGTTTGCATGTTTCAGTTCTTATTTGGTTTTATTATTTTCAGTGTTTTGTTCATTAGTGTATGTTTAAATACAAATTAAAAAGTAGTAGCTCAAATATTTCCCTATATTAGTGTAGGCTTCCACGGCTGGCATCCATGAAGCAATGTTGAGCTTCATTGTGCGATTACAATAGAGAGGCCATCGAGATCCATAAACATGCCAAAAACTTCAAAAGAAAGGAGAGTTTTAAAATCAATAAAGCATGGATCCCACATTTACACCACACCAAGATTAAATAAGTCTTATCTAAAGGAATCTACAGCAGTCCAGAAAGAACACCTAGCAGTATCCTGGCTCAAAAACCAGCGCTCTTAAAATTTTCCAAGCAGTTCACCTACACAAGAAACCAGTCAGCAGTCTGGCTCAAAGCAGACCAGTCAGGACTGGTACTCTTGGAACTTGTTCAAAAGAGGAATCAATCAGGAACCAGCTTTTTTGGATTCCTATGACATGAACCAATCAGAGATCAGCTCGCCAGGTACAAATACAAGACCCTAGTCAGCCCATTTCAGTTGCCTGTGAGCTGCCAAGAGAGGTATGCCACAAAGCAGCTCGCTCTGCCTCTGAAGGTGCCAGCCACAGCTGCTGATGAAACGTCAGAACAAAAGAAAACTAGACCATGGCCATTCAGCCCAAAAGCTCATCACTGCTTCAAATCCTTCTCTTGCTTTTCTACAACATTGACATCTTCCTCTTTCCCAGCCTTTTTTTTTCTCCCCAACCTTCTCCCTGTTTGAAAGAGATTCTTTTAGTTCTCTTTTTCTTCTACTGACACAATTTTAAAAAACAAATGGTATCACTACTCTCATGCTTGTTTTTAGTTTCTACCGCATTAATACAGTCTTAAGATTCTGGGGCTGGACCAGCTCTACCGTTTAAGAAACAGAAGCAACTGCTTCAGCCAGCAGATGTTGGGGTTAGCAGTGATAGCATCCCCCACACCTGAAAAACTGAACTGGGTTATCCCAAGTTTCATGCTGGACCTCTTAAACTATTGACTGCCCTCAGGAATGCTGAAGAACCCTATCTCCTTGCTAGCATTGTATGAATCTCAGAGAATGTCCTATAGTCCTTTGCTTCAGGCAGTAGAATGTCTTTTGGGTGGTCCTGCTCTGGACTTGTAACACACCCTCTAAAGCACTTGGATTACTTCCCTTAATTCAGAAAGATCGGCTTGCTGAATCTGGGGCCCCTTTAGTTCATTCTGCTGAATAAGACTCTGGATTTCTGCCTCAAAATCAGTTCTGCTGTTGACTATGAAATGTTGGGAGCTGAATAACAGGGCTCAATAATCCTTAGTTTGACCCACCAAGTGAAATAACATTTTTCTTCAGATCACATTTAAGAGTAATTATTATGATGCTTACAAGATTGGATAACAAGAATTGCAAGCTCTACATTAGGATATGCCCTACTCCACCATTTGAGAGTGAGCAATTAGGAATCAAGCCTTGCCAGTATAGTTCTGACTGGGATAAATAATAATCTTACATCTTTTTATAATCAGTATGGCAGATTATCGTGGGTGGGGGATAAAAGAAAAAATATACCATTAAATCCATTAGTCACTCAATTCATGAGAAGTTCTAATTCTGCCATTCAAAACCAACCCAACTGATTGAGACAAATGGTGTCTGCAAATGCCTTATGGGGGGCTTTTTGACAAAAGTCAGGGAAGCAAATGGCATTCCCTATTTACCCAAATTATGATTCGTGACACTTATGGCCAGCCAAGCTATTTTCGAAGATAAGGCAAAAAATCTTACAAATACTCATTCCATCTGAGGCAGAGTTGTAGTCTGTGGCAGCAAAACCTCATAGGATTTCCTGAAATCTTTAGTGACAACTCCACAGTCTCTCTAAGCTTGCCAGAAAACTACAGGGACCAGAATTTCTGTCACTAAGCGATGTGGTCATAAAGTGCGAGGTCACGTGACCACATTGCTTAGCAATGGCAATCATGGCACTCTCTGCTGCTGTCATTAAGCAAGAATCACAGGTTGTTAAGCAAGTCTCAGGTGGCTTGCAAGCAGATCGGCAGGCAGATAAGTGGCTGCTGCTGGGTGGGGAAGGGTGTGCGGGTGGCTGGTGAGGTGCACTGCAAGCATGGCAGGGCCAGGGGTGGCTGCTGCCGGGTGGGGTGGGGGGGAGCGCAAGCAACTTACTTGCAACCTTCCCTGCTGGTTTCCCCATTGACTTTGCTTGTGGGAAGCTGGCAGGGAAGGTCACAAATGGCAATGACATGACTGTGTGGCACTGCAACCATCGTAAATGTGAGTAGGTTACCAAGTGCCCAGATCATGATCACATGACTACAGGGGTGCTGGGATGGTCGGAACTTCAAGGACCAGTTCATTCAGCGCTGTTGTAACTTTGAACGATTGCTGAACAAATGGTCATTAAAGAGGACTACTTGTATAATTTTTAAGGTGATAGAAGAAAAAAAAGTAAATACATGAGGAGTTAAAACTGTCATCAGTTTTATGTTTGGGTGGTGTTGTTTTACCGTTTTTATGGATGTTACACAGTTTTTATAATTTCTGTAATCAATCAATCAAAATGTATTTACTGTCCAAGACCAAACACAATAAAAGACCAGCATACAATAACTATAAAAAAATTAAAATTGCAAGAAAATCCTAAAACAATTAGCAGCTAACAATTAATAGCATGAGGGAGAAGCCACATGGTTTCTAACAGCAATAACTATAGATAAGAATTTTTCATCCTTCTTAGAGATTTCTGAAGAGTGGTCACCCAGGAGAAGGGTAACAGCCTTCTGGTCACAACGGCAATTAGAGTTATTAACAATTGGAAATATTAAACTTTTTTGCCATTGGGTGTACAATGGACATTTTAATAGCAAATGTGAGACAGATTCTACCTCTGAGTCTGAATAGAAACAAGTTTGGATTTCATATGGGAGGCTTATAGATCTACTGGCTGTTGCCCTAATAGGTAGCACTCCAATTCAGGCCAAAGTAAATAGTCTCCTTATGTGGAGCATATAAAATGTTATAGAATTATCTAGGGACAGACCTTGGAGGAGGACTGATTGTGATATAAAAGGGATGGGAGATTTTGGCTCTGTCATAATCTCTGTAAATCACCAAGTCTCTGGAGTTCAGCAGGGTAGAAATGTGAAAAATAAATCAATGCATATAAAAATATTAGCGATTCTATTAAATATAATATGGTTAATCATTAATTGTATGATTAACCATACAATTTAAAGTAGTTTTAATTAAATTTACATATAAATTAAATTAAATTTAGTTGTAGTCCTGGCTCCACCCATATTTTGGACTACAGTTCCTGCTATATCACCCAAAGAAGAAAGAGGCTGATAGCAGGGATACCTGTGGGGTGGGGTGGGGTGGGGTGGGGGTATAAGAAAGGTCAAGATAGTGATTGTGACTGTGCAACTGAAGCCCTGCCCCTTTTTTTTATAAATGTGATGTTCATAAAAAGGGGCAGCGCGGTTGTGGCTGCCACATAACCCCATTTCCTGCAGATGCCCTTGGTTGGCAGAAGTAGATGTCTTTACCCGGTGAAGAACTATTTCAGCCAAGGCAGCTGCAAACATGGCTATTTCCTGAGTCTACCAACCACATCATCAACTATATGAAAAAAAAGGCAATGCATGACCAGGAAGGTAGTTGAAACCCACCATCTGGCCCAGCTCTGACTCAAGGTCTGTTTTCTCCACACACAGCTTCTCATAGGCTTGGATCATCTCCTCCAGCTGTTCTTCCCTTTCCTTGCTTTTCTGCAGCTGGTTTGGAGAGAAAAAAGGACAGGAAACAAATGAACAAAAATCACAGTTCAGCAGCCAGTAATTTTCTAAATCTGTGATTGCCCAGTTTCAAAGGCTGGAGACAGGCAATTGCACATTCCCTGCATTTTAGACCTTATACCATCTTCTCCCCCAGACTAAATTCAGGAGAATCTGTTCTTTCAGTTTGGCTCCTAAGTCAGATGTGTTCAGCCAGCTTGCTAATCAGCATATAATTGTGTGGGTAGCTGTACTACAACAAAACAAAACAAACCTGGATGGTCCTTCTGAATTATGGAGCAAAAATGGCAACAATTCATACTAAATTGGGAGCTGGGTACAGGTATCTTTTCAGAAATGAAATGGGGAAGTACTCATTTTACAGTGAAAGAATACTCAGGCTGCAGCTATTTTCACATAGAAAAGTGTTGAAGATAGCTCGCAAAAGCTTTCATTTATACAATTGTGTACCTGCAAAGCATATTTACTAGAGGTGAAAATGAGGTGAATATATACACAGAAGTAATTAATAACTGTCAAATTGTCTCCATTGCTCCTAAAAAAACCCCTGCTATCTATTTTCAGTCAATGCTTTTCATGGACAAGCAACCTCTGGCATATATATGTTCCCCCAGCACTCCTTTTATATCCCTAAAGTACCTTTGGAGTGAGCAAAGTCAACGTTTTGTGTCACCTTTTCTTTTTTGGAGGTATTATGAGCAAAAGTAGGTGTTTTAAATCTTTGCAGAAGTTCAAATCCCTTTAAAAATCTACTTACCCATCCCCAAAAACTTTGGTTCAATCTTTCCTATTTGGGGGGAGGTATTAATTGATGCAATGCCTTAAGTCTCTCATCCAAAGTATCTATTCTACTTATTCCCACCAAAAATATTTTAAAATGTCCCAAAGTCAAAAATTTGGCACCTTCTACTCCAATATTGTCACAATGTCACTGTAGAAAAATTAACTCCATAAAAAAAAGTGAGGGTGGCTGAACCTTGGATTAATTTGTTCATTTGTTAATACAACACATACAAAAAAACACATACTGGGGATATCACTGAGAGATTGACTTTACAAAATCATTCTGTGAAGTCATTCTAGTTTTCCTGAATCTCTAAGAGGAAGCCATTAACGCAACCAATGTATTATGAAGCAATGGAAATATTTGTAATATCATTGCTGCTCCTAATTGTTTTGTTTTTGTCTCTTCCAAATAAGCATTCTTTCTATACCAAAACAAAAAACAAAAAAACAAGAACCTAAAGCAAACAGAAAGAAGTCTCAAGAATGCTCAAGAAGTTTTATTCTGGAGGTGAGGCACATGCAGTCTTCAAGCCAACTGAAACTAGAATAGTGTGAACACACACAACAGTCAAGATATTTGTTGGGAACAAGTTTTGGTTCATCTACTCTAACCCTCTCCTATGAAAAGTAAAGTAAGTATCAGATAGGGAGAAGGTGTTTTCAGCTGCCAAGCCTCAAATGAACTTTCCTGGAAGGCTCACCTGGTTGCCAGCTTTCCTTTCCTTTTATTTGCTCCGGCTTTTAAAGTAAATTTAAGTACTATTGATTGCTCTTTTATGAATGGAATCCTGATTGCACAGACATTTTTAACTCTATTCAAATGAACCTGAGCAGAAGCCCTCCCTCAGACCTCCTGGCTTAACGTGGGAAGGAGAAGACAGGGCGGGGTGGAGGGTTGGACATCTTTTACTACTTTAAGCCATTACATGAGAAGTTGAAACTCTATATGAGGCTTCTATTTCACTAGTAATTCTATTTAAAAAATCCACAATACCAACGATGTAGAATATTCCACAAAATTTGTTTGGCAGGGATGATCTAGCAGTATTGATTCCAATGCATTCCATACAGCCACCATTAAAATAAAGCCATACTAAGAAATACCAATGCTCACAGCAAACCACTGTGTCAGAAACAAATAAGTGAATTCTGCATCCTGAATAAGTCATATTAATTAAATATTGTCTGCGTATATTTTGCCTTTTTGGACGTAATTTTTTTTTTCAATTTCCATCATCTACTGTATAGGAAGCCTCTGAAAGAGGTGCACAGTGTGAGAGCTGAGGCTGGTAAAGTAGAAATCAGCAGTTTTAAGACTAGAAAGGACCATCATCAAGACTAGAAAGGCTATAGAAATTAAAATAAATAAAAAATAAAAATAAAATAAAATTATGTAAACACATCTTAACTGCTACCAGTTAAGGCCACCAGGAAACTAGCCAAGTATCTGTTAATTCAGAAGGGTGAAAGAAAAAAGCCAAGAGTTTAAATGATGGACAAAACATGTCTGCCTTTTTTTTTTTTTACTGTCAAGAGCAATGAACTGTTGGTCTGAGGGTTCCTTCTTGTCTGCAATAAAAATTGTGAGCCAAGGAGTGCCTGGAAGTCTTCTGCCAAGTCTGGCCAAGAGCTGAATTTAGGGTTAAGTATCTGAATTTATTGCCTAGCCTGGATGTGAAGTTCGAGACAGAGCACTGAAAATCAACTACTGGGATCTCTGCTTCATCCTTCTCTTCTAGTGCCAAGGGAACTGGAAATGTTTAAAGAGAAGGAATGCAGATGGCCTATTACTAAATTAAGAATGAGATTAGAATAAGATCCCAGCTACTGTATACTAAAAATACACCATTCCAGATTATTGAAGAAGAATAGAAAGGCTCAGTACCTTCACTTCCACCTCAATTCTTCCCCCTTTCTCTCCTACCCTCCTCACCCAGTACTTAGCCTTTACTTTAACCCTGCTCATCCTTCCATGGCAAAATTCTGCACACAAAGCAAGCCAGCAAGATACTGAAATCCATTTCTTGTTTCTGTAGCTGCAGCAATCCTTCCTTCTTTATTAATGAACAAGATTTAAAGCACAGTTGATTTGGGGTTGCCCAAGCATTTGGAGCCGGAGAGCTGCCTCCACCTAGCCAAATTACTGAGATAATCTGTTTAGTTCATCATAACCATAAATGGTTGAAAACCTACTTTAAAGGAGGGGATGAGGGGAAATGAAAATAGCAGATACACTATTTCTACAGAATTTGGACCTTAGTCCAAAAATCAAATTCTGTGCTTGCTTGATGAACTCACATTAATATAAAATTTAAATATACTTGTAAACCATTTATCCTACAGTGTCAGATCAATATATATACATACATACATATATATGTACATTTATATGTGTGTGTGTGTATCTGTATGTGTATGTATAAATATATACACACACACACATGTACATACATATACATTAATAATACAGTGGAGACCTTAATATTAAATAATTAGTTTCAGACCAAAACTACTGTTATATAACTACTACTGTGATATGAAATCCAGTCCCTTTGTTGCGACTATTGGTGGTTAATTGTATTTCTTCCTTCCTATATAATCATTTGATTATTTACTGCATGAAACCTTGTATACTTAATGTTTAAAGAAAATATTTATGCAATTAAAAGAAGAAAATATATTTATTTATACACACACACACACACACACACAGCTTCCATCCCATTTTATCTGCCAAACAATGTTGTGAAGAAGGCAAGGCTAAGGGAAACAGCAATTGACCCAAGATCTTCTCATGAATCTTCTAGGTGTAGTATGGATTTAAAACCTTAGCTCCTCTTATCTCTATTGCAATTGCATTACTTTGGTTATGATGAGTTAAATTAATAATTAGAACTTCAAAGAATTCTAAACAGTTTCAGTTGAATACAAAGATAAATATGGTAGAATTCATACAATCCTGCTAGGTGCATGTCAGTTCAGGGCAAAAGAAGTCTTTACAGAAAGTATAATTAATGCATAATTTAGTTTAAACCTGACATACTATCCACTGTAGCTTATTGGCTCTCTACTCCAACCCAGGCCGTATTTCAGTTACTCAGTCATTTATTTCTAAGAACAGAGACAACAGAGATAATATTTCTCTTAAGGTACTTCATTCTCAGGGGTTTCCCCCCCAGGGCGTGTGTGTGTGTGTGTGTGTGTGTGTGTGTCTATCTCTATGTGCACAATTTTGGTCTGTTGTCATTTGGGAGCTTCCTGTGCAAACAGAACACTGGAATCTGAGATTCAAATGTAGTGCTGGTCTCACCTAGTTGAAGGTGTGATTTGAGATATGTAAAACTCTATCTCTTGCTATCTCTTCATTACTATTAATTACTTTCTCACTATGCTTTCTGAAATTGAAATGGTACAGGACCCTTCCCTCCAGATGTGTGGAGACTACAAGTTCCAGAACACAACAGCAAAATGAGCACACACCATCACATTATCCTCTATGAAAATGGAGGGAGAGTCTTTCTTCAGCCAACCCCAGCTCTTAGGAATTTTATTTCCTTATTAATTTTGTATGCCATCATAATCACATGCTATTAAAGTCAACCAGATAAGACAAACCCTCATCCTTGAACCACATCTCAGTTCATGAGGCAGTGGTAGAAGGTACTATATGATAGGCAAAATTTCATGAGAAGATCAGCAAAGTCAACTGTATTCAGATTCTGAAAACCATTTTCAAAAGGTACTGAGATACTCCCCTCACCTCACGCTGGAACTGATTCAGCTGCTGCTGGAGGTTGGCTTTTTCACTCTTCAGAAGAGAAGTCTCCTTGGAGTCATAAGCTGGGAACATACGTTCTTCTCCAAAATCACTGATCAATGGAAACTAGAGGCCAGAAACAAACAAACAAAAAAGCATATATGAGAATAGGTGTGTGTGTATGTATGTATGTACACACATACACACACACGTTCCACCAATATTTGTGCAAAATGGGAAGCAATAACAAATCTGCATGCAAGATTTAAATATCAGAGGGTAACAATGTTCGCTATTAAAATAAACATACAAAAATGACACTAAGAGTTATCTGGCCTGAACAAAATGGATTTTTAAAAAATCAAATACAGGACAAGATATAAATATGTGCAGTGCTTCTACAGTCTTTCCACAGAATGTCTAACTGGAGCTGGCAGTAATCTGTGGGCCACAATATGAAAGCCATTGGCTTAAGAAGGAGGTTCTCTATTTATTTATTTATTTACTTTCATTTTATTTAAAATCAAAAGCCAAAAAAAAAGGGGGGGGGTTGTTCTGTAACCAAGAAAAACTTCTGAATAGAAGACGTGAGCATGGGCACCAATAAGACTTTTCTCCTAGGAAGAAAATAGAATAGACTGGCTGATACTTAGTCGGCACGTTGGTCCATCTAACAACTACCTACCCTAGCCATGATCAAGTGGTCCATAGGGGGGAAAAAACAGGCAGAGAATGGCTTCCATAAATGAATAAAAGGCTAGAGTAGCCTTCTTCAACTTGGTATCCTCCAGAGGTATTAGGATATAAGTTCCCAAAACCATGCTGGCTAGAAATTTCTGAAAGTTGCAGTCTCAACACAGACTGCTGGAGAAGAGTGGCCTAGAGTAACAGGAACAGATGCATTGAGAAGTAGGAGGGATATCCTCAATCCCAAATTGTGTGGGTTCAATGTTGTGCAGCAACAGTTGATCATATACACCCGTGCCCATGTTTAGAGCAACTTTTTTCCCCCCTGAATTGTCATGTGCTATTTTCTGGCTAGCCTTACTGTGGATAGCTGCCACTCACCTTGATCTCGTACATCTTTAGCTTCCGTTTGAGGTTGGTGTTCTCCCGCTCTAGCCCTGTCAAGCGGTTCTTGATGTCATCATATGCTGTGATGAAAGCAAAGTGAGAGGCAGAACACATCTCACTGGAGAGGTCAGTGTTTGGACTGTCCAGCCACTCATCATCCTGCACCAAGGCATCTTGGGTAAGGATGCTGATGTCATCCTCAAACATGGAGTCCATGGCACAGTCTGGAAGAGGTGAGCATTTAGCAGGAAATATCAATACATGGCCAAATCCAGCTGTGGGAGGTGACAAGAAACAAGAGTAATAAGGGAGATAGCAAAATACTTTTTCCCACTACTGCAATTCTTTTAAGTATTTTTTTATCATTTTGTTATAAGTTGAGCAAAAGATCTATATACTTGTAAATGAATTTTTAATTGTTGAGAGCTACTCTGAGGGACAATATCTGTTTGGAATCCAGGATAAAGGTCTGATAAAGAAAAGACAAGGAAAAAGGCAGCTTAATGATTAGTATTTAATACCAGAAGATGCCTCATAAAAACATCATAGTTTAGTAGCACTTTAAAACTAGCAAAGTATATGTTAATTTTTATCTGCCACAAGATACTGTATTGTAATAAAGAAACATATTACAAAGGCTACCCCTTCAGAAATCATATCAAGATTTTTGCTCAAGCTCTGGTTACTTTTTCTTTCTGATTTATTATAGACACTATCACAAGATTGCCCTGTGCTTCCTTTTGTTAGCACATCATTTCTCTTTTAAAGGCTTAAGCTGCACTAGCTATCATACTCTAGTTAATATTCATGTTTCTAATCCTCCATTTGTAGGTATGCACAAGAGTTGTGGTGGATTGCTCTCCACCATCTGCATCTACCAATTATGCTGTCCCACCCATCACCCACTGCAGCAGTTTGGAAGTCCCTATCATGCTTATTGATGTATGCTTGGAAGACAGAGGAATCCCATGTAAAGTAGAAGTTTAAGCACAAATTGACACAGTAGGACTTAATTGGCATGACCATGTACCCTTCCCACTAGCTTTCAGGGAGCATGGAGTTTGTCAGAAACACCCTGATGAAGATTGCTTAGCGCACCTCTCATTCATGTCCACAGGTCTTGTGCCGGAGAATGTCTGGATCATTGTTCACCATGGATCAAGATCTGACTGTGTACCATTATATACTGCCCTGAATGACATCTGGAATGTAACTCTCTAGGAAGCCACTTTATCCCCATTAGCAGACTCCTCTAAGTCACCCCACAAAAACAAAAGAGAAATCTGCCACTTAAATGCTGAACTGGATTTCTCAGTACTGGTTTTGGAAGGAAGAAGGTGGATCAGTCAAGCCCAACACACAAATGGCCTGCTGAAAGAACTGGATAACTTCAGGCATGGCCACAGAATGTGACAACCCCACACAGAAGGGAATGGGAATGGGAATAGGGAAGGGAAGGGAAACCTCAACAGCAAGATAAAATCTAGTATTAAGGAAATGTGGGTGTCCAAATTGTGTCACAGCAACTTGCATGCCATAGCAGGCTTTTTTTTTTTTTTTAATGGCTGATGTGGGTGTATTGGGTGCAGAAATGAGACTACAAAAATCATTCATTTTTTTAAAAAGCAGATTTTTTTTTTTTGCAGTTTTGAATGGCTCACATACTCACATATAAAAGAACAAAAATAAATAACAGATAGCTACTGGCTCTAGGAAATAAAAGCACAGGAAACTACCTGTACGGGCTCATCAGTCCACTGGCCCATCTACTTCAATATTCCACACCTGGACTAGAGGGAACAGGGTGGATCAGCTCCACTGCAGATCTCCAGATGATCTGCAATGCTCAAAACCCCTCTGATTCCCAGTAGCCTAATGACAGCAACAAAAAGGCATCACTTATCCTAAATTAGGTTGCTGAAATAAAAGTTGGAAAAAAATTAAAGTAGACATTTACTCTGGTCAAGAGGCACTACAGAAGCACTTTTTTGCATCTAAATCCATTTGGTGAATATCTGGTTCTAATTAAAATAAAATACATCATCATCATCGTCATTATTATTACTATTATTTCCTCCCACCTATTTCCAGAACTCTGGAAGGGTATACATATAGATTTCTCCTATTTTATCCAAACAATAATCCTGTGAGGTAGGGTGGCCTAAGGGAGAATGTCTGGTCTACAGTCTTCCTGAAACTCCATGGTTCCAGTTGAACACTTAGAACTATTCACTACTGTCTTGTACCATCTTCATGTATCTATATCACCACGAGAGCTTCATCCAAGGCATGAAAATCAATCTTTCTCTTTCTAGGAACATAACCCTGCACTCAGGACCTAGCAGCAAAGAGTCAAAGACAGTAAGTTACTTTTATTACAGGTACCAAAGGAGTTTTAATAATTGGGGGAGGGGGGGGGAAATCAGCTATTGTAGACTCTAGAAATCAACCTATATTTATATCAGGCAGCCTATGGTACAAATTTTAGAAAGCAGATGCAGATGTGCAATCCCATCCCTGTAGTTGTTCCAAGAACTTTTGTTGCCTGAACAAGAAAACAAGATGGGGCCCCTTCCCATCCTTGTCCCCTCAATAAAAGCCAGCTGGACCTGTGGTTGAATTTCTCTTCAACCCTGCTGATAGGGTGGTATTTCCACCACACCTGCAGATGGCAGGCCACTTGAGGGGCACTGAGGGCTTTTTCTTTCAATATCTTATGGCCATCTCCCAATCTCTGTCCTTTGAAGCAACTGCTTGCTCATTGCTTCGTGAGAGGAAGACAAAAGGGGCCAATGAGGAAGAATAGGTGGCTACTTTTTGTAGCCCTGCTGTTAGAGGTAAATGCATGTTATTATTTGAGTGTCACCCTTATAATGGCTGTGAGCTAATGGCACACATTTGGGTTACTGCTAATAACAGCTTTGGATTGGGGGGGGGGGGGGTTGCAGGAAAAAAGAAGAAAGGTTCCTTTCAATTACTTCCCAATTTATGATAAAACAAAAGTCCATTTAACTGTATTGTTGTAATAGGTCCTATTATAACAACTCAGCTAAAGGAAAATGCTAAACAATCAGTCCTTCTTTCAATGCCCGGCATCATTTGTTATAAAATTGTAACTTTCCATAGAACCCCTGCAGTATTTCATAGGCATTTACATGTAGATATTTTTATCTATGCATTTATTTTAAATTGACCGACTAATCAATTCATTTTTTTATTAATAATTTTTTAAAATAAAGTGAGTGAACAAGCAAGCAAAAGAAGAAAAAAAGAAAAGAAAAATATTCATTGGCACAGAAATATAACATCTATAAGTGGACAAAGGAATTACCAAGATTGTACAATGAGTGCTCAGTATCTCTGATTATAAATTAACCATAAAAACATTAAATTACATTTAAGTACATTACATTATTTTAACAATGTAAGTAAGAATTTAAATCTCTGAGCTAAGTGCCAAGATCTCCACTATTTATTGTTTAAGAATGCAAAAAAAAAGGAAAAATATTAAAACATTATAAATATTAGCTCCTAACTTCTTTATCATACTCCAACTAATGTACAATATTTATCAACATGGTTGAATAGCCCATGCCTTATATTACTACTTGCTGAGGTTTAGTATGACAACTTTACAAAATTAGGAAGTGAGACCAAGCAACTTGCCCAAACCCTGTCAGCAAACTTAGGGCAAGGGTGTGGGGGGGTGTTAAATATTAATCCCCAGATTTCAGCCCAACTAACTTGTCTAAAGCCTACGATGCACAGAGCATTCTTGCTTGCATCTGCAAAATCTCATAGATGGCAATGGAGGTGGGATGGTGATGCAAGGGAACTAAAAGAGTTAATGCTAAAAATTGGAACTGTCCAAATTAAATCAGCCGGCAATCAACAGCTATCTAGCTTTGCACACCTAACAAGCTGATTTAATATGCTACAGTTTCAAGGTCATTCCAGGTGAGAAGAAAAGCTGTAGCTTCAATAAACAAAATACCAGCTAAAACTTAAATTTTCTAGTACTCACACAAATGTATGCATACAGACACGCACCATTGTTTTGCTGCAAACAAATGTTATTTTCCTTTTTCATTCCATGGTGTTTTTTTTATTGTCCTTTTTAGAGGGGTGTTGTGGTTACTATAGGAATCAGTATTTAAATATATTCAATTAAATAAAAGCCTACACATATCTGCAAGGAACACTTAATTAAGAATTGGGGAGGGGGGGGAATCCTACCATTGTCTAGAGGGTAAAATATATTTTTAAAAAATTGGAAAAAGAACAAAATTTAGCAAGGCAATGGTTCATTTTGAACCTGGAAGAAAGAAAGGACTTATATCCCCACAATGGATGGATACGTGTGTGTGTGTGTGTGTGTGTGTGTGTGTGTGTTGCACCTTCCAATATGAATAGCTTTGAACACATTCCTCAGATTAATCTCTGGATCAGAATATACCTAACTCCTCAGATTTCTCACCTCCAACATTTAAACAGAAAAAGTGGCAGCTGTGTTTGAAAATGTGCACGGAGGCAAGCTGCATTTATAAATATATTAAAGCCAAGCAAAGCAAAAGTAATGAAGTAAAAAAATAAAAACACCTACCCCATCTTAAGGTAACATCCTCATTAGGCCAACTCAAGTTTCTAAAATAACATGCAAGCTAAAAACTCTTCACCAGACAAGATGAAAAAAAGTGGGAGAGGAAAGGGAAACAGCTGGTGTTTAAGCCATGATAACACCAGGTTACACACTTAGTTAGAATGTGGGAGTCTGCAGACACGCAAACTGGGCCATAGCTAATGCAAAGACAGTTTCATGTTGTACCAAAGACTCTCCCAATCCTTTGCTAGAAGAAATAAGCAAATAACTGTGAAACCCCCATTTTTGGAGTTATTAATCCAGCTAAAACTTTTTTTCACTGACTCTTTTTACCTACTACAATATCTTAAATTACCTCCAATATTGTTCATACAAAGGCTATCTAGCTGATCTCCCTTTTGTTTTTCATCTGCCAAGATACTTATGAATCTTACTGAAGAAAACTGGTTTACAAAGTTTTGATTTTTTTTTCAAGTTGTGAGCTTAGGCAGATTAATATAGGTATGGACAGAATGGAACTGTGAGACAATGCATGCAAAAATGCTAACGACCAGACCAGATTGACTTGTCAAACCCCAAATGATCAAGTGCATGTATTCTCCCTGCAGAAAGTCTCAGCTTCATCTCCTATTAAAAGAACTGAGTAGCAGTTGATGGGAGAGCACCACCAGTTAGAATACACAAATGTCATGCTAGATGGACCTATAGTATGACCAATAAATTATACACACAGAGGCCACTATTGACAAAAAGAGGGAATTTTGAAAGAAGCACGTCATAAGAAATCTTCTCAAAGTACTATAAACCTCTACCAATTAACCACCTGTCTTCTTTATACACTTCAAATAATTTACTAGATGGTGCATTCAAGTTTATCTTGATATCCTAAATAGAAGAAACTTTGCATAAGTGAATGAATTAAAGGAAAGCCAAGATTTGCAGCCAACATAAAAATCCACATGATGTGATGGAAAAATCCAGATAAAACCCAGCAATGCTTCCAAGGATTGCATACAAAGACCATGCCTTCCTTTTACACATTAAATACTATGTATATGACCAAGAAATCTAACAGATAAATAAATGAAGATAAAGCTAGAACAAGTTTAATAAGAAGATTCATTTATAATGCCCTATAACTTCAAGTACATGGAGGAAGCTCTATGATTCCTCTAACTATAGTGCCTATTTGAGCACTCCTAATTGGAAAAATGTCCCACAGTATTATGTGAAATAATCCAAATTAAAAACAGAACCAGGAGATGCCCTTACATAGCTGCCCCATTCACATCAACAGAGCTTGTACAGGAGGCTGTCCCATCAGATTAGACCCTAGAGGTTAGACTTGCTGCCTGCCTTCTGCTATTCACAAAATCTAGAGTCGGCTTCCTGCAGCAGCTGTTTCATCACTGCCTCACTGGAAGGCCGCTTCTGTGAAAGGGGACTCTGGAGAGGATCACAGTTGCCCAGGATCCTGGTTCAGGCAAAGGAGTTCATAGAAGCCTTGTAGACAAGTTATGAATGGTTGGAGGATAGGACAACCATGTGGATAGCATCAGAGTCGGAGAAAGAGGAGAGCAAGGACTCAAAACAAACACTTATGCTTTTCTCACATCATCTCAGTCCCTCCTTCTACTATTGTCAGGAACCAACATGTGTTATGACTAAGCAACAAGTTCCAACCCAATGAAATAAGTGGCATCAGGTGCTTCTGGGGTTATGGAACAGAAAGAGAGCCACACATATATCACCTCAGGCAAGCAAGAGCAACGCTCAGCTGAGGAAAATATTCTCGGCATCTACTCAGAATCAAGCTCTGAAGAGTGAACCTGATGGACCCAATTCGGAACAGGCTTACAAATTATGTAACAAATGGAGAAGCAGAAGGAAGTTATTGGGGATGATAGCAGGGGACAATCAGACAGGCAACCCATCCTGTCGCTGCATGTTGTAGCATGGGGGAGAGAGCACCCCTGGAATTCAGTGGGGTTGCAGCAGAGCTGCCAACAAGAAGATCAGCGTACATCGATGTACTTATTTAGTATGTTCCTGCTCCACCTTTTATCCATTATGGAACTCAAAGCAACTCATCTGGAGTTCTCACTTAGTTTCTCATCCTGGCTTAAGTAATTAGAAGGGTGGGCAGGGAGTAAATCCAAGATTAAGTGTCAAGATAACAGACGTGTATGAGATCGAATGAAGGTGCAGTCTGCATTAAGAAATGTAGGGAGGCTCACAAAACCCAGGCATACTAGCAAAAGGGGAAGGAGGCAATGAAAAGTTGGGGCAGGGGCAGGGGGAGGGGGAGAAAGCACCAAGCCCAGATGGCATGAATGGAAAGTACAGGAACAGCAGATGGAAAGGGCAGTAAATACAGTGGGGAATGTGGAAGCACAGTTCCTTCCATCAGCATGGTAAGTAATGGGGAAAGTGGCCAGAATATAGTTAGATAATACATTTCATTGATGTCTTAGTTCTGTTTTCCATTAAAAAAACCCTGTATATTTAATGACATTGGGCCCATTTCTTAGATATTCCATCCCACCCTGACTACCCTCCTCCTGTTTTACTTCCAACCTTTCCAACCCTGGGTGCTGCTGAATTAATGAGCTTTCTTAGAATGGAACATAATTTAGTACGAACAATTAGATTGTGGGAGAGGTACACAGATCCTGGGATCAGAAAGGTAAATAAAAGGAAACATCTACAGGGGAAGGGAGGTTATAGATCAGGAAAACAATTAACGGGAAAAGCCCACAGTCTATTGGAGAGCAGGTATGCAATTATAGATCAGGGAGGGAAAAACATAGTATTAATTTAGATTAGGAAGAATGGAGAAGGCAGCAATGGGATCAAGGGGGGGGGGGGTGTGGAACACCACATATGCCCTTCTGGGGAAAAAAAGGGATGGAAGGCAGGAGTTATGTTAGGCGAAACAGCCAGACATTAAATGGAAAGCAAAGTTGAAGGGGTAGCAGCAAATTGAGGAGGGGGTGAGAACTGATCTAGCCAGAGGGACCACCTCTAGGGATAGTCAGCTAGATGAGGAGGGCTTCAGCCTTCTAGCTTTCGGGGAGGGAGAAACGGGAGGGGGGGAGCTGATCCTAAAAGAAAGAAACCCAGGGAAGGGAATAATGGGGTTCAATATTCTAGCTGGCGTGGGGAGGAGGAATGACACACATAACTATGAGGAACAGCCTGCCTCTCTTCTAAAGAACCGCGCATCATCCCCCCACCTTTCCCCGGCGACTCGAGGCGCTGGGCCGAGGCTACGGGGCGCAGAGTTTGCTCCCCGGCGATGTCCCCCAGCCCCGCGGGGGGAGTCATGTCATGCGGGTGGACCGTCCCTCTCCCGGGAGAGCCGCGGCATCATCCCAGCAGCGACCCGAGCAAGCGCATTCCCGGGGAGGCACCACCGCTCTGCCCCTCAGAAGCTCCCCTGCTCCGTTACGAAACCCCCTCCCCGTTCGCCCGCTGATCCCGATTAGGAGATGGGGGCTGGACTTACATCACTTCCCAGCTTGCTTGACAAAGAAAATCCATCGTTAGCAGCTGTAGACTATGGAAGTGGATGCTTTGGGGAGGTGCTTGCTGGAGATGTGCGCGGGGGGAGGGGGGTCCTCCGGTGCTTTTCCTCCTCTTTTGCTGTTGCTTCCTCGGGCTCTTATCCCTCCTCGATTTCCAGCGGCCCTCTGCTTTTCCCCTCCCCCAGTCTCACACCACAAAGTGTGCCACCGTCAGACTGGCAGCACCATAATGCGTCCCACGTGGTGGCTTCACCTTTTGTGGCCTAAGGCAGCTCTGCCACACCTCCCCGTGGCCAAAAATAAAGGGGAGGGGGCGATCTCACTATTGCCAGAGGGGGAAAAATGAGTTAAAATGGTCCCCTTCCGCCTCCGCCTTTGCTGGGTAGCCTGGAATAGCTTCTCCTCTCGCTCGCTTTTCCAGCTCCTGTTTCCTGCTCCCGATTACATACACACGCGCGCGCGTACACACACACACACACGCAGGAAACAGTCACTGAACAAGAGGTGTCTACTTTTTTTTTTTAAAGTGAACCTGCAAAAACAGTAATTTTCCTTCCCCCACGCTTAAAATAAAACAGATCGCAGCATAAACCAGATAACACTAACAAATCTTCCCAAAAAGGTTGCCTCAAGAGTTAATTAGTGTTTGCTTCTGGTCAAGGTAAAAATTCAAGTGGTTTTTTTTTTCCTCAGATAGTTCTTAAAAACCACACATAAGCATGCTGATCTAGCCTCCGTGGTTATTCATGTCTTCTTTCAAGCAAACTATTACTTTGGCAGGGTCTGTTAGCACTCAAAGACCAATTTATTATCTCACAGGCTCTTGTGGATCCCAGTCCACTTTCTGATGCTCCACATACCCAGAGTAGTGTTTTGGCTTGAAAACTTCTCCACAGCCTTACCTCCACTCTCAGTGCTGGATATTGTTGGATATACATTGTTTATCAGGGCAGAAAAACAGAATGCAGAAGCCGTGAGTTGATTAGGGTGATTTGAATTCATCAGCAAGACTTCAGATGCAAAAGAATCCCTGGGAGTCATACCTGAAGACATCAGGAAAGGGTTTATTAAATGAAAACAGCCTACATCCCAAAGCCAGTTGCCTCATTTTAAATGCCTGCAAAGTGGGTAACTCTTAGTTTTCATTACCATGTTTAAAACTGACACATACAACCTTTAAATTAGAGAAAATGTTCATGGAAAATGTCTCCAAATTATGTCACAAACAATTATTGAACACTTTATTGGATATAACTTAGCATGAAGATCCTTAAAGCTCAATGTATATCTCTTTAAAAGTGTATGGTTATTTTGCAAACCATAAATGCATTTCTTTGTTTAGTCTTCTGAAACTGTGTACAAAATCATCTATGCGCTACAAAATTATCTACATGGCCACAACAATTAAAACTGCATTATATTCAATATGTGGCTGATTCATTATAAAGACAGAAGTATTTATGATATGCATCATACAGAATATATATATTACATGTACTCATGACGATCTGTTTAAATAGTGTTTTTCTCATCTTTACATTCTACTATATTTCTCAAACAGCAAAAGGGTTGTTTTGTAAAATACCCACATCAAGCCTGGATAATCACCATCCAGGAATGCTGCAATGTAGTGTTTCCTTTATTCACATGGGAATATTTGAGGCACCTTTTTCTGCTCTGGCTCTATGATTTAATTCCTGTATTAACTTTCACAGTGTAAAGCAGGGATTTTTCCTGCAAACACATATAAGATGGTGGAAGCACAACATAACCACAATAGAGTCTTTGGTGTTCCTGGTGTCCCATTTTGCCCAGTGCACAGTTGTGGAGCCAGCCTGTGTCAAATCTGAGCCTCGTGTAACTCATAATCTTTCTTTCTAATCTATCTTGCATATTATTAAATTATCAGCATGGCTGGATGAAGAATTCTGGGAGTTTAAGTCCACACATCTTAAAGTTGCCAAGTTTGAGAAACACTGATATTTCACAGGCTTGTTGTTAGGATAAAACGTGTGACAGTGGGAAGAACTTTGTATGCCACTTTGAGCCATTTGGTAAAGCATAACAAAATAAGAAATTAAAAAATAATGTCTGGGTTCACATAACCACACCATGATTTTTAAACTATGGTATATTGAATAGTTCATAACCAGCTGGATTCCCACAACATGGTAAACAAAGAACCAAATTATCTTAGGGCATCAAACCCAGTCCTTATTTAGTGAGGCTGGGAATAATCACACGATGATTTCTTGAAGGGCTGCTGCCTATTATGTAGGCTGCTGCCTATTATTGTGGATTGGGTCAGATGGACCACTGTCTTGAGACAGTATAAGGCAGTTTCAGGAAATCAGTCTAGGAAAGGAAAGGAAAGGAAAGATTTTTATTTAATTTTTCTAACTCACAGGGTAACTGCAGTCCATCTGTCCAGTCTTTAACCAGTGCTCATGTGCTGGACATTAAGCATGACTCTCCATCTTCTACTCAGGCTTGTTCCCTTGAATGACTGTCACTATCTAATTCTCCCTTAAGTATAATCTCCTGGAACACTGCAGGATGGCGTGCCAAGCAATCCAGCCCAGGCTTTGTAGAATTTATAAATCAATTTTCAATAATATTTCTATAAGAGACATGAGATACTGAGCCCTTGAGACTCAGATTTCTATCTTACCTTTCCTAAGCTGGTGCTAGATGTGAGACTTCAGCTCTCATAATCCCTAGTCAACGAGGCCAGAGACCATGTTGGCTAGGAATTAGGGGAGGTGAAACTGCAACATCGGTGGTGTTGCCAGACAGGCCTCAGATCAAAATCCTGAGCTCAAGATTATCCCCCATATGACCAGAGAAAAACAGCAGGAATACACCTGGACAGCAGCACCTGGAGTAGCTAAGAGACACACATACACACACACGCGTGCACACACACACACAGAGGCTTCCTTTGCTTTATGGGTTTTTTAATTTATTTAATTGATTTGTATGGCTGCTCATCTCAAATACATGACTCTGGGCACCTCACAATAATCAAATAAGGATAAAAAATGTATACATATACAAACACAACACAACACACAGCAGCGGAGAAAAATCACAAGCAGCCATTAGCACAACTAGGAAACGGGCTCTGCCACATACCTGGGGCCCCAGGCTTGAGCACAGAACCTGGTCTTCAAGGCCAGGCCAGCAGGGTTGGGCCAATCTGATCTCTGGAAGAAAAATGTTCCAGAGGGTGGAAGTCATGGCAGAAGGGCTCTCCTGGGTCCCACCAGCTGGCACTCCTTAGCTGATGGTATCCAGAGCATGTCCCTCCTGCCTGATCTGCTCTATATTTGAGGTTGAGTGTTTCACACATCCTTCTAAAGTGCCCGCTGTGTGTGCACCGGCATCAGAGCAAATACACCAGCTCTTTACTCTGACAAACTCCACTCGTGATGAGATTGTGGTATTAAATGACCAATGCCCAGGTGTTTCGAAAGCAGTAACACAATTTTTATTCATAGCCTGAGCTTATAGAAACTGTTTGGTCCCTTCTGTGAAAGATTAACTTTATAGGGTTTCTTCTTCTTATATACATCTGCACTATATATAGCCATTTATACATGTACTAATGGTGTGCTGGATTTTTTAAAATTCTGTGACTTGGTCTTGGGCTGTCAAGAAATAAAAAATATGTGGAAGACAGGGTACATTTAATTACAGGAAGAAAATGTCTTTTTGTCTGTGTTAAACATGAAATCAGTTTCTCACCCCATTTTGGAAGTGGGCCTCTCAGGTGGTGTCCCTTCCACAGGCTCTGGTTCTTCTGGAGTAGAGGATGAGAGGTACCCTTGCACTGTTTCCTTCCCCATAAGGCAGGTCACGTAGACACTTTTCATATTGTTATCTTCTCCTAAGAAGCCAAGAAGCCACAGTTCCTCCTCTATTATCCAGTGTAGTCTTTACGGGCCTTTATCAGATTCTTTTTCAGCCTTATTATCTATCCAGATCTCAGCAAAATTTTTAACCATTGGAGTTTTTCAGTGCCTTCTTTATTTCTAGCTTGTCAGAACCACTTTGGTATTAGCCAGATTGTGTGGCTCCTTATACCTAGCAGGCCACATAAAAACCTGTCCCTCAGAATAAATTAAAATAAAAGAAAGTGAAATGCCATTAATAAAGCTTCATGTTAAATATTAACAATAATTCACAACTCAAATGCCCAATGGGTTAATTAATTATTAGAATATTGATTTTCAAAGTAATTGAAATACATTCAAGATCCTCTCTTTTAGAAATACAGTATACATACAGTACCACTTTGGGAATAATATTTAAAATATACATTACCATTTTTCTAATAAAATATATATTGAAAACAAGCACAGTAGAACCATAATTTAAAAGATTCAAGGCAGCATTAAAAGATACTCAATTGCCAGTCCTAGTACTGTAAATATGTTTTTGCTAAGCACCAAATAATTTTCATAGGACTGGATAAATGGAGTTTCAGAACTGGTATGTCATGCAGAAGCAGAATTCCCCCTTTTTTCCTCTAATATCAAAAGCACAACCCTGAACCACAATCAGCTGAATTAATCCAGTTGTCTGAGTTCACGCTGCATACTGATCCTTGTAATTGCACTGGTTGAGCCACAAACTAGCCAACCACAGTGGTGAAGTTAGTTTAGCATGCTGTGGAAATCCAGAAAAATATCAGGAATGTCAGTGTCAGAAGATAGCATTGAAATTTGTTCCAGCCTCCAATAGAAATCCCAAGTGGTTGCAGCAGAGAAGGAAGCAGGCCAGCAGTACGACTCACTCCATCAGCTCAAGGAAGATGCCAGATTCATTGGGATCACGTCTTCATTTTCTTTAGCAGCCATTCCATCAGCTCAACTGAAGGACATTTGGCTGCTCCCTTTCATAGACCATCTGCCTTTTAAGATGATAGTTTTATGTAGTTTTATGACAGGAGGGAGTCCTGGGATCTGCTTGTAATGCTAGACAGTTTAGGGCAGTGTTTCTCAACCTTAGGAACTTTAAGATGTGTGGACTTCAACTCCCAGAATTCCCCAGCCAGCATGGGTTGAGAAACCCTGGTTTAGGGGTATACGTGCACGTATACACATACCTAGCTGCAACCGTGAACACATACACAGGCACACATAAAGCACATTCTCTCCTCCCCCAACAATTTAAGTGTAGCTGAGATTGCACAACCCCAAAATGTTAAAGCTCCCTCGATGCATGTCCCCTCCTCAGTTACCCAGATTGCTTCTCCTGCTCATGTTCTGGAAGTTTCTCTTTCTGACCATAAAATGCACTTAAGGCAGAAGTCAGGACATCAGATCATCTTTTTACAGAGAGGGCTTAATGGTCATTGGCAGGAAGAGGTGAATTTCCTGAATGGCCCAGAAAGCATATTGTCCACTTA